TACGGTGAAATGAAGAGGTTTGAGAGTGGGGAAAGAGGAAACTCAGCGGCGGAAGAGGGAGGAAGAGAGGGAGGAAGAGAGGGAGAGAGAGAGAGAGGGGGGGAGGGAGAGACAAGGGAGAAGGGAAGAATAAAGCACCATATTTGTCACTGGTGACTAAGATTGGAATAAGTTAACGATTTATCGGATAATCAATAGAAAGGTGGATATCTGGCCGGACACGTTCCTATATTAGGAGAGAACAAGGTCACAAAAAGTGTCAATACCATCTGGCCGCGACAGCCGGTCTGAGCAGCCGCCAGCCACGGTAGGCGGCTGATAATGACACTGTATTTCTGTCGTGGAGGATGACCACGAGAGCGGTAGGCACGTGCCTAAAGGGCGGAGATGGCGGACTCGGCACCCTGTCCGGAGATCCGGGCCCGCTGACCACACCCCATGAGCTCTGACGATATATGAGGGACAAGAGTGTCGTGCTGTACCCCGATGTAAGTGCTGGTCAGTGTACTACACTCAACGGTGGATGGGAATGAAATATTTTCATTTCGAGCTGGCTAAGGAAGGTTTTCGACCGGCCTTTGTCGAGCCAGGAGTGTTCCTTTTGAAAATGAATTGAGAACCAATGGCGTGGAAACTGCTAGTGGGGACGATTAATCATTTATATTAAAATCGATGCTGAAGGTTATAAAACTTGGAAAAGAAAGAATTTCTTTTGACGATTGCTATATAAAAAGCAACATAAATTCTCATTCGTAAGTATCGTTTTCGGCCGAGTTATACCTTCATCTGAAATGCCTACAAGCTACGTGCTATGCAAATGAGAAGACATTGCATGCAAGCAGCATGCTGTGACATTAAACTTCTGTAATCCCTAAATGTCTATGTAGTCCACAAAACGTTTGTTTATTTGAAAATCATAATAGGATGAGGCGGAACCGCTTATAAGAACCTGTTCAATGTTAAATAGCTGTTTTCAAAACTGCTTAACCTAACAAAGAAGACCAAGGAATAGCAATGAGAACTGAGGTCGCCAGAGCCTGATACTTGGAAGCACGAAACGTGTGCCAAATGAAACAGAACGGGAACATCGGTCGAATTCCGCTCTCGGTCTGGTGGTGCTTGTCTGCCAGACAGAGGGACGGGCCAACTGGTGAGTGTCTGCAGCTGCCTCAGGGCACTGAGGTCATCTAGGTCATCTAGGTCACTGAGGTCACTTAGGTCACGTAGGTCACTGAGGTTTCTTAGGTCATTTAGGTCACATAGGTCACTGATGTTACTGAGGCCACAGAGGTCATCAAAGCTGCGAGGTCAGCAGCGTCACGGAAGTTCCTGAGGTCAATATAGGATCACTGATGCCACTGAGGGCTTGTGCCCAAGGTTTGAGGTCACTAACGCCAAAAGTCTCACTGAAGTCATTGGGGTCAACACTCAACAACATCACTAAACTCACTGATGCCACTGTTGTCACCGATGCTTTGGGTCACTAAGGTAAGGTCACTGAAGCTAGTAAGGTCAGTGCGTCCGATATCAGCCGCCGACGAGCCAAGCGGTAGGTAGTTCCGTGGAGAATTGGCGGCACTTCAGCCTCATGCGATGAAAGCCCTCGGCTCGATAGCACAAATGTTAGTTACGTAACAGTTTGATTGCTTCGCAGAATTGATTTGTGAATAATCAGGCTGGTTATGCCGAAAGTGTGCGTGTGGAGACATATCAATCCTTCAACTAACTGCGGCATGACTAGCAAGACAATCTGAAAACATCGTTGTAGTTAGAAAAAAATAAACAAAATATAGGTAGCTAGGTTAGGCATGTACGTACAGTCGCCGGCCACTCAAAGTGTGTTAGGCTTGCTGTTCATATAATAATATGTTTGCTCTGTCGTGGACAAATAAAAAGGGATTGACATAACGAAAAGCATTACCTAAATCAGACCAAAATCCTGGTACAAAACATTTACAGCGGGAAATGTAAAATAATTCTGACTATTAAAATTCAAATTTAATTTAGCATTGCTCGACTTCGCAAGAACGTCGGGTGTCTAGACGACATTTCAAATATTTCTCAGCATCACAGTTTAAAATTTATACATACGAAAGTCGAAATCGTTTCCTAGTATGCAATTCAAGTGGGCCGGTTCCGAAGCGCTGACGATAAATGTATCATCGGCCAGCCAAGTGCCGTGGGGTGGACGGTTTTTGCCTCCGGCTGACGGGCCGGCCCGCCTGCGGCAGACAGCTAGCGCCTGTCCTTAGCAACGCCATTCGTCTTTCCGTGTCATGATTTATTCCCCGATTCATCACTTAGTGTGTAATTTCCCCGCTTCGAAATGAGAAACGTTTCATGTGCCTTTTGAAATATTACAGAGGGTAATTCACTTCCATGGTCATACAAAACAAATAGGTCGGAGTTGAGTCACATTCTAATGCATTCGGCCTTTAAAACGCCTGTCATTCTCAGCAAAGCACTCATCTAGCCTGACATTTCCTGAGGTGAAATACCCGGACAGCCTGGGGGCACCTATGACGAATGGCCTTCTACCAGGCGGTTCAGTCACGCTGTGATAAGGCCGTCCCGTCTCACGCCCAGTCCCTCCCCTGCAAACCCGACCCTACCTGTCCCCATCCTGACCAACAATGCGCCCGCTCCGGTCCCCGTCCGCAGCGAGGCTAAGCAATCAACGCCCCATGCCGGGACTATTGTTGGATCTATCGGGGAGAAGGCACGCCCCGCCGTCAGACCGGTCGCGTCGGCCGGCTGGCTTCCTTTAGCCGTTCTATTTTCAGGCGGTGGGCCCGGCTCTTGAAAAGGACCGATTCCATCAGCGCACGGCAGCCTACAGCCGGCGCCGACACTCGTAGAGTTGAGGCGCTTCTCAACCAAGTTTAACCAGCCACGTACCGGGATCTGGCGGCGCCCAGGCGCGAGGCAAACTAGACCAGAAAATTATGTCCCTGCCTGGCCATCTGCCCCTTTTCTGCCCTGCGGAGAACCGGGGGGGGGGGGGGGGATGTCTGTCTCACACACGCCGTGCGAGCCGCGTGGCGTCCCCGACTCTCACACACTCTCTCTCCGGAGGAGGAGGCGGCGGCGGCGTTCATCTGTTGCACAGCAGCCGGTGGGGCCGGGCCGGCCGGCGCGGCCGCCGCTCTGTATTGATCCGCTCTCCGGCAGCCCAACGCCGTGTTGCAGCCCACGAGCTCACAAACACACACCGGTCTGACCTGACCTGACCCACAGCCGTCCGAGCTGAGGTCAGTTTAGGGGACACGCAGGGGCTGAGACTGACCCAACCTGACCTAGGCTGACCTGAGGTGTCCTATTCAACGTGAAATAATGAATGAAGCTTGCCTGATAGGGCAGTTTCTGGCATAGAATCAGGCTCCACCAGATTGACAGAACGCGGATTTCATTTCACCTGGACATTTTAATGGGTAGTCCTTACATTCCATCACCTTGAAACACCGTGTTTATTCATAGATCCTACTTAGCCGTTTATTCATATAGTTCTCACTCAGCCTTGCATGTCTACACCACGGTCTGCTGAATGTTAGGCTGTCATTCCTAGGGTTTATGACACCGAGTTGAAACCTACTTCTTGTCTTCCTACATATGGCGAAGACAATCAAAATTTGCTAGTAAAAAAGAGAATTTTGCAACCTGTAACAAAAAACGACAACAATACATACGTTCAAGACTCGCGAACGGTTCTATTTTACAAAATACAACGTGACTTGACGGAACGATTTTATATACATTTCCATAACATCTAGATGCGAACCAGATAGCCGCTGACAGGTATTCAGAATATATAGGCTGAGAATAATTGAGCAACAAAATGACCGACCGTTGATGGCCTCGAATGACTCGACCATTGATCGTAACTTATCATTAACCTAACCTAACGTAACTTAGCGTAACTTATCCGAGGGACGAGTGGCAAATGATGTCTTTTCTATTGGTGTGTATCGTCTTTTTGCCGATGAGCGTATCATGGCCAAAGTTGTAGCCTGCATGCGATTGCGTTGCACTATGTTTGTTTCATCATCAGTTCAGCACTACCTCAGAAGGGACTGAAGGATGACCGCTTGACCGATGTGTCCACTCAATGGCAAGAGACACGATTAAATGATGTTGCTGGGCCTCTGAGTTACGAAACGTCATTTATTTGTCAATCCCCGAAAATATTGGTAATAGTATGGTGACGACACGTCCATTATTGAACGATTGCACCGTTTAAGTGATAAAAAGCTTCATCTAACTTCAGCTAAAACGATATATTTCATACTGAGTGCAATATTTCAATATATTTAATGGCCTCCATCATGTGGGCAGAAGAAAAGAAAAACTTTTTAGAGTGGCCACTGGCCGCAGTTTCCTTTTCAACCATTGAATGGTAGTTGAAAGATAATCTAATTTTCCTAAGCCTAGATATTCAAATTTTTAAAATCCAGATATTCAAAACATTCACATATTCAAAATCCGAGATAGACAGCCATGTTCGTCATAGACTCATATCGATCATTGACAGAACCAACTTTCAGACAACCGTTCAATCGCTATAGCTAGAAACATGTACAATTTGCCTAGTTGAGGTCATTGAGAGTGAACTGGTAACATGACCTTCAGCAATCATACATAGGTATATTGGGCTAAAACAGTGACATGGAGCTTTTCATTGATCATTGCGATGCTGCGACTTGGCAGTACGCATCAAGTGGACTCGAATAAAATTGCTGCTCACAAAACCCACGCCATGCAATTCTGCTCAGAATCACACACTCCACGCAGCTGTCGCCCCATTCTCCTCCGTCGCAGACAGGTATGTTTGTACTGAGCGGACTAAGGAGATCATAACACTGGCAGTAATCATTCATTCCCCATCTCCACGCAGCGGCTGAATGTCAGCGTTGAGCAGCCTCCGGTGGCCGGGGCGGCGCGCCCGTGACAGCCGCGTGCACGTCGGCGCCGCGCACCGAGTCGACGATCAGTAACGGCAGGCTGCGTCGCGACCGACGAAGTGGCGGTCAGTCGGGCGCACGACGTGACGGCGACGACGGCGGTCCGGGCGCGGCGGAGAGAGGGCAGAGCAGACGGAGAGAGGGAGGAGCGCTGCTGAGGCCGGAGATAGCACAGGAGCAGACAACAGGTTGGTCGGATCTAGGGGCGATTAGTGGCCGTTGGGGAGTGGGGTGGGTGGGTGGTTTTGTCCTTATCGCTCATTAGAATAACAATCGTGTCGTTTTTTTAACAGAACGTGCTAGTGGGCAATACGTTTTCAAGACATACGCAGTTTATAACCCATTTCTGTTTTTTAAGTGCAATATTTTGCTGGTTTGTACGTTCAAATAGGCGCACCCAAAACGACCATAGCATTTATGTGCATTACGCATCGCATGCTGGTTACACATCAGTCTTGCAAAGTGACTCACACGCAAAAAAGAGCTACAAAGATATTGTGGAATGCTCGAAAAGCGTTTGCATAGAACGTTGCAGAAGTGGAATACAATTAGGTATGTTCTTACAATTAGATAAGTAAAAGAAATTGACATTTTCCTCGACATTAAAGATGCAAAAAGCCGAATAATGTATTTAAAAAAAAAAAAACGGTGAGCTTTCGGCCACTAATAACCTTGGTTTGATAAAGGCCAGTGGCGGAAAGCTCAGCGTTTTTTTTTAATGCATTATTCGGCGTTTTGCATCTTTAATGTCGAGGAAAAAGTCAATTTCTTTTACTTATCTAATTGTATTCAATATGTTCCTCGCTCAAGCACTTAAACAATGTTACCAATTAGGTATGATCTTCATTGTTTTTCTAGGTAAAAAGCATAACCGACGAAATGGAAGGACTTTGCATTGCCAAGGCCTGTTGGGCAGTATATTTGCTCATCACCAGAGCCACATGATACTATCAGCGCACGATTTGCCATGCTTTGACGCATACAGGCCTTGAAAGTTTTACGGAAATGAACAGAAAGTGACATTTTTCGTGTGTTGCTATATCAGTACACCAGGCCACCAGGTGCGAATAAGTCCTATTCAATTTGCGTACGACGAAACATATCAGGCTCTTCAGTGCCTCGTTTGGCATTTCTGATAACGTGAAACCGGTCAGACATATTAATGTCATTGATTTTATTTGTAATATGCATATGCTGCTCAATGCACACACTAGTCGAAAAAAGTCTACAAAATATCAACATCAGCACGAAATTATCGTCCATCGCGCCAGAAGCCACCCAGTCGTAGTCACCAGGCCAGAGGGGAAATATTGCGGTGAACTTTTATTTCGTTTACGTGATTTATATGTTTTTATAATTGATCTATGTATGTGCAATGTGAACTCTCAATTTTAGAAATGCGGCATTCATCACCACACGTCACGTTATCAGGCGCTCATCGGCAGTTCATTTCAAGCGTCTATCGAAGGAGTCTACCGGGAATGTCCTGCCATTCTTGTTTACTGATATTGGCTCAGCCCGCGAAGCACTATTTCCTATGAAGATAAATGCCAGAAAAAACATGTTGTCCGGCCTCGGAATCGCTTTTTAAACCCACGAGAGGCTCTGAATTCCACGCCGCGGCAGCTCGAATGACGTCTGGTCAGATGGGGTGGATTTAGCGTTATGAAACCGACGCAAAAATAAACAATAAAACATCTGATGGTTGTCAGCTTGACAACAGCGATATCGACCCATTTGACCAGCTCCCTGGGGAAAAATCTCACACACCCGCTGTCCTATCTCGGCGTGCGAGGGAGACAGAGAGCCCGTGTCGGCCTTTGGCGGCGCTCAGCTCGTCATTCTATGCCGCTCCTCGGGTGCCAACCCCGCCGTCAGCGATGACAGTGGACCGATGACGGATCGTCAAACGGCCGGTCGCCGGGCCGGTCCCGGCGGTGACACCCCGGGAGCACGCCGACGGCACGCGGCCGGCTGGTGTCAGCTGTGAGTCACAGACAGATAGCGGGGTCTGTCGGCAGTGATGGGGAGTGCCGCTGGCCCGCGAGGCTCACCCGAGCCCGGCAGGCGGCCGGCCAGACTCACACCAGGTGTTGAGAGAGCAGGCGCGCCATAGAGCCCGGCCGGAGTCTGCTGGCACCGCTCGTCGGCCGCGCTGGTGTTGGCTACAGCTTCAAACGTCACCCATCCCCGTGCTGGCTCGGCGCTAACCTGAAGTAGCCATTCATTCGGTCGTAGAAGTGTCGTTTATCAAACCACTCCGAATTGACATCCAACAGCATAAATGTTAGGTGATTGAGAGCAAGCTATTTTCGAGGATACAACAGACTTCAGGTTAACGTAAAAATATTGCGTGTAATTCTCGAAATTTCTTAGAATATGTAAGGTGAAACTTCAGTATACGTTGCGAGATATGTATGTATGTAATAGACGAAAAGTACCCTCCGAATGACAGTCTCACGGCTTAAAAAAAGTGTTCGCAGTTTCTTCAACTTGTGCCAGCTGCGCGCCGTAATAAATGAAATGGGCTGGTCCGCGTGACACCCTATCCAATCATGTAATACACGGGCCCAAATCACGACCGAAAAAGGAGGAGTCGAGTTCATTATTGTCCGAGCGAGGCTGATTGGACGTGCTGAGGGGCCTCCGATGATGCCATCAATCAACACGGCGAAGTGGATTGGCCAGTCGGGGCTCCCCGGTGCGTCGATAAGCCACTCGAGTGTTATTCTATAAAAGATGGTGACGAATATAGTGTTCACTGTTGGCGCTCGCCGGTTGCAACTGAAGGATTCGAACACTCAAAGACAAAAGCGATTTAAGCCAGTTATGGTGGATCCGCCAACAAAATGTTCCACACCAGTCGGACAATAATTTGTGAACATCAAAAATCCAACTGCAGCGATACATATTCATACCGTCAGCACCACACTTTACTTCTATAAATGGACAAGTCTGTGCGTCAGCGATGCTAATACGAGTATGCGTGCTCAATTCGAACAACGTCGGCGTCTGCGGTGCCATGAATCAAAGCCGCAGCGTTTTATTAGCCCGCCGTCTGGACACGTCTGGTCGCCCTGGGCAGCAGCCGGACAGCGATACCCGAGGCCATGCCGCCGCCGCCGCCCTCGGCTGCGTCCAGCCGTGTCAGGGTCGGTGTCGACAGCTGACGGCTTCACAGAACTGACCAGGCCTGACCCAGAGACCGTCTCTGGGGCGCCAGAGACGTGGGACGGCTGACCAAAGCCAACGTTAGAGCCGCTGCAGGCAGAGTCACTGACGGACGCGCTCGAACGCGCTGAGGTGGATAGCAGAGAGCGCAGGAGCTGTCACCTGTTTGTGTCACTATCACCTGTCATCACGAGATGTCAGAGCTGTCAGGCGGAGGTATGACACGCTATCTGTGCGCGGGACAGTGCATGTCGGAGACTCATTTAGACGCCTTATGATATTGACACAAATTCCCAAGAGGTTTGCAGCTGCTCGTAATGAAACCATCAGCCAGTCATCCATCTCCTCTGTGCCAGACAAATGCGAGTGCCCGCTGTTGCATGTATCCCGACTGATGACTACACTGTTTCGTGATCATCTATTTGTTGTCGGTGGTGCCGGCGATACGAGCAGCACGAGCCACGGCCCTCACTGTGCCGCCCAGCTATCGATGAGGCTTCAGTGGTCCATCATCGCGTTAGGAGCCGGCCATGGCTGGTGTGGTCGGCTTGACAGGCCGGCCAGTCATTAGGAGGTAATTGTATACGGCGAAAACAGCCGCAGAAGGGCGCCAGAGACGGAGCCGGCGAGGCCACCTCCGCCGTAACAGAGCTGCCGCAGCACGCGGTGATGAGTAACAATAGAGAGCGCGCGATAGCGACAGCTGGGTGTCGTTTGTTATGGTGCCCCATTTACTCCGCCAAGAGGCCGTCCGTAATACCCACCTACAATTACTGCGCATGTGACCACGCTCCGTCGAGGTGCAGCTGGATGGTCCCATAGGACGCCATCCTCGGGATAATCCAATATGAGTGGAAGGGAGTGAATGCCAAGACAACGGTCGCCGGGAGATATTCAATCAGGCCGGAACAACACGTCGCCTCGCGGACAGCCCGCGGCACCGCGCCAGTGATCTAATACTGGTGATAGGCAGTCCCGTGGGCTAGGCCGGTCGGGCTGGACAGGGATAGAGATGCCGAGCCGAGACACGGTGGGGAAGGGATAGAGTTTCGATCCGGTGTAAAAAAATTGTTGTTTTTAATCCAATTGTATGTCATTTGTAGGCGTACTACGATTGTTTATTGCTTAGGTATTTGTTTTATGTTTATCTATTGATTATTGTGAAATGTTTACACAGGCACTTGGATTCCAGTGCACTGTAAGCCAAATGCCTATCATTTATACCAGCATTGAGTCCAAGCTGTGAGAGAAATGTATACCTATAAGCCTGAAGCATTTCTGTTTAAATGACATTGGTTGTTAGTGATTAGGTTGTAACGCGCTCAACTGACTTCGCCCTTCAATGCCCAAACTAGTTCGCTAGTTGCGCCTTTCATAGAAAATCTCTTTTCGCTTTTCTCTATTCACCGATGACCCTTTCTGATGACGCACGGCGCACAGTACTGAGCTATAAGCGGACTGTCTTGCGGTACAGTTTCATTTCAGGCGTAAAACGCTAGCGCCATCTAGGGAGCGTAATATAATCAACAACTCGGTATCTGTCGCTTGGTGGATACAGTTACGGTCTTTCTCAAATTACGATGGACATGTACTTCACACCACGATCGGGTTAGCTCCTTCCCGCCGATAAATGTTCTCGTAACCTTTCACCACTGCCCAGTCCACCAGTTACATAAGCGTTAGGCGCTGAGTCGTACGGGAAAGAAAGTTTGGCTGCCTTTCCTGCCTGAACTCTTGATGGGACGGCACTGCAGCTGCCAGCAGATGATTTAAATTTCGTAAATGATGCTGTTGAGTGGCTTGGACCACATAAGATTATTTTTAGTTATTTTTAGATTGCTTATTTAATCGTAGACAGGGTACTGTAGCCCCATTTAAAAACGAACTTCAGGTATCAGACCGACATCTAATAGCACTCAGGTGAACAGTGAACATGCACTCCCACCGTCGACTCATTGTCCACCCGATATGACGTGCTAGCCATACCCTCTAACGCTTGTGCATACTTCGTATTCCGCAGGAGGGCTGGCTGAGAGTCATGCAGCTCAGCTGAGTCGAGTCCCGACTCACCACCTTCGACTCCCAGTCTGTGTCCGTGAGTCGGAGCAGCCGTGAGCCGCGTCTCCGGTGGGCCGGCCGGAGCCGGGCCCGACCGTCATCCTGGCAACACCACCGGACAGCCCCTCTGTGGGCAGCTGTGTCCTGGAGCCGCTAGGTAGGTCAACGGGGTCACATGGGGTCATCAGGGGTCAGAGAGGGTCACTGGGGTCACGCGGGGTCAGCAGGTGCCAGAAGGGGTGCCACGGGTTTGCCAGGGGTCATACGGGTCACACAAGGGTCAGCAGGGACTATACGGGGTCAGCAAGGGTCAGAAGGGGTCACATGGAGTCAGCAGGGGCCAGAAGAGGTCAGCAGAGCTTACACGGGATTACACTGGTTAGAAGTATTTGGGCCGGGCTAGATGTCACAATGAGAAAATGTAATGTATCGGGTCACGGGGTCATGCTTGGTGATTCGGGTCACGCTGGATTATGCAGAGTCACTCTTAGCGTAACTCTTAGTTACGCGGTGTCAAAAGGAGTTATAGGCTTATGCGGTTGCGTGGTTAGCGCCGTCCTGACCAGTTTTTCCTGAATAATAAAGAAAAAGATATTCATGTATTCCGCACATGCGGATGTGTTGTAGAATTACCTTGGGATTACCCAATGCCAGGTAATATAAATTTGCCGGAAAGTAGCAAGGTGTTTACATTTTCGACATTCGTCAATCATTTCCGCTTTTTAGAACTCCACGTGCACCCAACAAATCCTAGCTGGCTGCATGGTCACTTTCCTCCCTTAGGACGACTTGTCAAGCGCAGCGAATTTGACAAAGTGCCGCGGAAAAATGCCATAAGCATAAAGCGCGGCCATATATTTTGTGCCGGCTGCCAGTGGCCCGGCCGGATGTTTTATTCTCTCGCTCGGCTGCCAAAGGGTCGGCTAGCGAGGCGAAGCAGCTCGGTAAATATGTCACTGCCGTCCGCACCTATCCATAACGCCGAGGCGCGGGCGGGGCGCGGCGCCACGCACCATTTCAGTTGCCGTCAACCGGCGGAGGCGCAGCGGCGGCGGCTGGAAAGGGTCGGTTTGGCAGCCGGAGTCTGGCACCGAATAGTCACTGCTGCGGCGCAGGCGGCACTGCAGGTAATTCAATGCGTACTGCGACAAATAAACCGGCCATCTCGACTCGGTGTCGGTTCGACTGATCCATCTAGCGTAGCACGCACACCCGTTTCGCACTTTCTGGACTGCTTTCTTGAATAGTCACGTGGAAGTGCGTTCCACTATCTCCCAGGAGCGCCCTCCCCGTGGACCGACGTGTCTAATGTTCGCCGCCGCACCTCAGCGGGATGCGTCGCGCTCGTCTCGGCTGCGCCACGACTGTCTCTGGGGCCGCGGCGGCCGCTCGGTGGCATCCACTGGATGCGGCCGAGAACGTTTACAGAACGAACGACAGAACGTTTATCGGAGATGATCTCCGATAAACGTTCTGTCGCCGCTGGCTGTGCCATCTCATGCATGCTGAACAAGTACCACTTAACGCGGGCACCTCCGTCACGTCCCGCGTCCCCCAGGTGGGGGAGTTGGGAGTTGGGGCTTCTTGAGAGACTGTGGCCTGTTAGCAGAACCAGGGTAAACGGACCTCGAACTCAGAGACAAGTGGCAGACGAATCCAGTGACAGGTGCTTATAACAAACTTGCGGTGACGCGCGCCGCCCATAACAAACGCGATGTAGCGATGAAATACCATCGCAGAAGGCATGTCTGACAGGACGCAAAAAAAAAAAAATACTTGACAGATATGCGGACGGTGCCAAATGTGCCTTACTGGCCGTTTTCACGACGGAATAGCAGGCATCTATTTAATCCCCATTTGATCCTTTGGTTCCTCAGGAATTTTAGTAGTTCTTTTTAGTAGGTTCCCCAGCTTTCGAATGAATGGTGCGTTAGTTTGCTATTTTTCTATTAAATATCACATCGATTTACTTTATCTAAGGATTTATCATTAATATCAACATAAAGCGTAAGCACAATTATAAAATTATGAAATTATTAAATACTAGTACAATAGTTAAAAAAAGATACTGAGTTGCCAGGCTACAAAGAATATATTCATTTATGGCGCACGACAGACATTTAGAAAGCAGCGCCCTGTTTTATTGCACGCTGCTAGCCGCTTCCATTGGGTTTTGCAGGCCGACGTTATTGGTCGTTACACGTATGATGTCACGCGACTTGTGGCCTGTCACGGCTCTTTAATGATCTCCACTAAATGAATGCAACAATGGCCTTTTAAGTTGATCTCTGTGGCCATCTGTCTATGGAGCGACCAATATGAAAGTTGGGTGAATTTACCGGGGTTACATGACTATGAGCAAGCAAATGTGTATCAGGAATGGATTTAGGTGGAGAATTGCGCTGGACCATGAGTGCTCGAACGCTCCCAATTCCACGCCGGTTTGGCTTTGGAGCCGAGACAGACGATGCGGGTCAAGGTCACCGCTGGGGTAACGGTGGATTGGCTGCGCCCGAGCACCCGTAACGCGGCACAATTCTCCATCTATGGATTTTCCTATTCGCTCAGCATTATGATAGGCGTTCGTAATAGCATTTACTCTGCTCATGTACCTATCCCCGGTTATTTAAAAGAAGTTTTTTTGTGGGGGAATATCACGGCTTTAGGTACTCGGTGGCCCTATTCACGACTTTCAAAGAATGCTCCGATAACTAAACACCGCACAGACCTACTGCATTAGTGAATCTGACAGAAGGTCTGTGGGATTACATCCCCCCTCACCACACCCCTAAAAACTCATCCAGTGTCCAAAACCACTTTTATCGACTCGCCAAAAAAAAAAAAAACACACACACACATACACACACAAAGCATGGGGCATGTCAGCTCTCAGTTCATTTATCATTGTCTTTACCATGGTTCAATTGCATTGCGCGATTTAAAGCACGTGAGTGCCTATATAGTATATATGTAGAAAATAATATCTACAGCAAAACATCCAAAATTACAAAGGCTACAATCAGTGGCGCAGCCAGGATTTCATTTCGGGGGGGTCATCGCCTCCAAAGCGGGCCCCCTGGTGTGCGGGCCCCCACCCATTTTTTAGAATCTCTCCATATTTCATACACATTCTGCTGAGCGGGCCCCCTTTACCTGCACGATAACCCTGAGCGAGTTTGAGTCAGAACATTTGGATAGAACAATAGCTCGGTAATCACTCGATGTTCAATTTTTACGCAAATTGACCACGACAGAAATATGTTACTATGACGTAAGAATTCGTATCTTTCGAGGCCAAAATGTGCCCCTTCCGCAATATGCATAGCATATATGCAATCGGAACTGTTGCCTGCTTCTGTCGGACAATATTTAACTAGTCCCATGTGCCTGTTCTAAGTCATCTATTGGCTGTTGTAGTAGATTGTGCCTTTATTCTTCTTCATTACGTGAATTCGCTCACAAGAAGTTTTAACCCTCGCGGCACAGGGGGAAGGGTTTGATGCAACCCCCCTAAAGTTTTTTTTTTTTTTGCAAATAACTCGCGTAAAAAGCGACTGATCGCGAGGTAACTTTCAGTACCCTCGCGTTGATCAATATTACACCTACCCTAGAAATTTCATGACCCTGACCCAAATGACCTAAAGGTCAATTCAAGGTCAACTTCCGACCTAAAGGTCGGAAAGTAGGCCAAAGTTGACCTACTTTCCGAGACCATGTTTGGCCAGAATCCTGGTTCGGCGTATGCCGGCTCGCATTAGCGGCGCGTTTGCAGTCCTTTCGTGGTTTCAAGCGTTCAAACATGTGATTTGATATGTTGCTCCCATGCATAAGGGTGGATGTCAATGTCACCTGAAGCCTGAAGGTCAGGTCAGGTCATTGACCTATGAGGACCTCAGTACACTTTTTCAAGCTATGCATGTTTTTAGGCTAGTTTTTGTTTAGCTGAATTCGAATTTAGCAACCATTTGAAAATTTAAGTAGTTTTGGTGCCTTCGTAGCATGTGACGAAGCTGTCAGAGGCGGTTGACACGTATGTTCTACGAATACCCGTCACGATCCCTACTGGTTGACCTGACCTGACCTGACCCGACCCGACCTGGCCTAAATGCATAAAGATATCATCTGTGATCAAAACTAACATAATGTTCGTGATCAGCACCCCAAAAAGCCCTATAGCAGCCACAATTTACGACGTTCACACACAACAGGTCCCGATTTTCCCGACTTTTGGGTCATTGACCTGACCTGGAAGGTCAACCAATGACCTAACCTGGAAGGTCAACCAATGACCTAACCTAGGACCTTTAAATTGGGGATCATCGGCTTCCTCTCGTCACGGGCAACACGCTCGTGTTTTCCGCGAAGCTCTACATCTCGATCATGGGCCAATTGGGCCATACGCGAGGGGAGTCGTAATTGTGCCGTCGAAGGACGCAAAATGCTCTGTGCCGGCGAGGGCTAACGCGCTCACATGAGACATGTATTGCCTTGGGCCGGGTTTGTTGTGGTGTGATGATGTGGTGACGTAGATTATGTATGTTACCGTGGTCCTGGCATGGTGTTACTTAGCGCGGGGTAGGTATAGGCTAGAGTGACCGTTGCACCCAGTGCGCTGAAGTTTGCGCAACCGATGGAACAAGGATGGGCAACGTGCCTGTGAGGGGTCTCAGCTCAATCGGGCCGGTGGTGAGGACATGGCGCGTGCTCAAAAAGTGTACATTCGCGTCATAGACTTTACATGTATAAATCGGCTTGCAAAATCGGGCGAAAATAGCTAAATTTGCCCGACACGGGTCCGGTACCCGTGCAGTATCTCGGTAACCGTGGGTCCGATCAGCACGGGGAGCACAGTATCGTAAATGATAATCGAACGGGCTATCGAATGGTGTGCGGTGTAGGGATGGCACGTGCCACGTGCACCTGGTAGCGCACTTATGCTTGAAAAATTGACATTTGGACGGATTTTGGACTTAATGCTATTTTCGGGTGACTGTCAGACGGAGCGGGTTCAAACAATGCCTGTTGTCAAGAGAAACGTAGCGCCTCTCATGGAAAAATTGTGAAAAGCTAATTGATCAAAAACAAGGTGAAACAAATCGCTGAAGAAAATGGCATTTGTTCATGACTTACCTACTTAATTACACGGGTTTTGCTGCA